TTTTGAAGTGTATTACTTGCGGTTTCATTAAATATCGTTGTTGATTTTGGGACCTTTTTCTAATCTATTAAGGTCAAAATTCAAAATTATCTTAACCTTCTAAATTCTTGTCTCTCATCTTTGATTTTTTTTTTTTGTGTGCCCATTTCACAAGTATAATCTACGCACGCTATCGAATTGCTAATGGAAATACTATTATCCTGGGAATGAAGTAGGCTAATCTGTGTGTTTCATTATTATCCGTAAAAACATTTATTACAATTGTGTTTGAAAAGCCCTTATGAAGAGAAGCACATTGCAAGTGGGCGAAGCTTTCACACACAGTAGGTAGGGCAGAGGCTGTCTGCCCTACACATCACGCCCTGAGTGACGTGTGCCCGATGGTGTGTGTCCCACGTGCCCACCTGTGGGCAAGAGTGTTGAGCAAGGCTGATAAAGAACTGGCCAAATTAAATTGCATTCACCATGGGACTGAAATCTGGACTTCAGTCACTGTTGCGTCAGTGCGGCAATATTAATAACAGCTGTCTGTGCATTTGTGTTTATTAATTATTTTACTCACCTCAATACAGTTTCCTCTTGCACTTTGATTCTAGGACAAAAACTTGCTTGACGACCATCGTATCTAGTACGTGAACGCAGAAAGAACTCAATCTTGGCGTGTTAGAAACTTCATATCATCTAATAAAACATGATGATGATTTGCTTGGCAGGATTACAGGCTCATAGTTTTCCTAAATTAAGTTATAATATAAGCTCCCTGCGTGACGTACCGGGCAGGGTTCTCTCAAGAGTCACGGGTCGCTTTTAAAAGCAAGTGTCTGCCGTTCTACTGACTGAAGCTAGTTTTAGGATGTATTAAAATATGTTCAGTAGCTATGTGGATGTATGTATTAAATTTGTCAGATTTGTGTTGAGTCTGTTATCAGCAGTGGTGCAGAGTGGGGGAAAGCCCTTTTCTTGCTTCCTTTTTTTATTGCAAGCTGCCGTTTTCTGGTTTTCTTCTCCTTTTGTCACGTTGCCCTGTGTATAGCTTTTTGGGCTGTCATCAGGCTTGGTTGGAATGGCTTTGGCACTGGAAATCGCAACATCTGGAAATGGCCCCTGCCTTGGGACAAACTGCAGTGGACGAAGATGGGTGGAGTAGAAGCAAGCCCTGGGTAACCGCGGCTCCCAGTTGGCGTTCCACATACCTACTCCCCAGTACTTTGCATCCAGAATAAACAGCTCTCTTCTGCATGGATAGACGTGCAGCTCCATGCAAGGACAATGACGTGCCAGCGTTCGAAAAGGATTTATAACCTGTGACTTCTTGACTTCTCTGGTTCAGTGAGCTCTCTACCTTTTCGTTCCTGTTCTTGGGGGAACGAGCAGCCCATGCGCTGGGCCGTGCTGAAAGAGCGATATCTGAACTTCTTAATACAGCAGCTGCCTGCCTGTCTGCTGGTTTTCTCATGCTTTTGTCATTGAGTCCATTGTGTTCTGCCAGTTGTAGAGGGAACTTTGTACATCAGTTTAACAAAGCATTCCCTCCTTCTTTGTTTTCTACTATTCGATATTTCTTCTTTGTTTTCTACTATTCGATATTTCTTCTTTGTTTTCTACTATTCGATATTTCTTCTTTGTTTTCTACTATTCGATATTTCACAGCTTTACATACAGCAGTTTTACCGCCGTGCTGGGCCAGCGTGGCTGGCTGAGCTTGGCTGAAGGTCAGCATCATCAAAGCCTTAGAAATAAAATATCCGCCAGCTGCTGAGAAGAGGCCTGCCTCTACCAGCCTGTGGACCACAACCTCTTTGTAGTTTTCTGCTCTTTATTCAGGATGTGGATACGGCTTATAGTACTAGAGAGGTCACCGGTCTGAACGTCTTGCCGCTGATTGTCCTCCTGAAAGCTGGCTCCTGGGAACTGGTGATGACGGGCAGCAGGGTTCAGAAAGCTCTTCGACACATTGTGGTTGTTGCTGAGGGAAGACGCGTCTGCATCCATAGCATTGAGTGAGATTGTAGGAAAAGGGAGAGCATGCTCCTCCAGCCGTTGCACAAGATTCTTTTGACAAATAGGAGTATCAGAAGTTTAATAAATAGCTGAAATTCACAGTGATATTCATTGTGTGAACATATGCCTGTGCCTCGTGCGGATATTTGACTATGCTGACTGTGACTAGAATTTGGCTGACTTAAAACACCTTTCCTGCTGTCCACGATAGATGTAAACCTCCAGTTTGCCTCACCTCTCCTTCCAGTCGTCCACCCTGGGAAGTAACAGCTTCCATTTTATTGACATAGAGGAAAACGGGCATCTGAAGGCACTTTGGTTTCTTTCTACTAGGAAATGGACTTAGCATCCATAAATTACTCTATTGCAGCTGGAAAATGCAGTGCAATGTTTATCAATACTGTAGTATTCCTGTATTTATTCTCTAGATCAAAACCCACAATTATTTTGGTATGCTGTGATTTCTGAAAAGAACCTCTAAATCACTGTTAAAATTCCTTTCAAGTTGAGGAATAACATACTAATTTTTACTTTTTCTAAATCAAAAACATTTCACACTTAAAAAAATGCATTTTATCTGTTGTGTATTTGTTGATTGCAGCAAATACTGATCACTGAGATGGGTGGATGGGGCTGTTGGGATAAAGGCATTCTGCAGTCAGAGTTGGATCATGTGATTGTTTCACTTAATTTCTGCTTTTTGGTTTTGTTCATATTCTTGCTTTCATGCTTTGAATTCATTGTGTGGTTTTTTTTATAATGAAAGAAAAAGAAGAAACTTTTTTTTTTTATTTCAGTGCTGACTTAAAACAAGCTTGTGGTTGTTCAAACTGCAGATGGTGTTTATTTTAATGTTGATATATTTCCGGGGATGGGAAGGGCAGAGAAAGGAGCTTAGAATAATTCTGTTCACAGACTTTGAAATAAAATGAGTTTATCTGCTGTGGCAGATTGTTTTTGCCTTTTTAAAAGATAGCTACATACTAGCCTTTCACTGAAAGAAGATACTATCTATGGATATAATGTATGTGGCTATAAATATGATGCATATATTATTTCCATAATATGCTATGAGATTTCCCTTGTAGTACAACCTTAACATTCAAAAACATTTGTCTGCTTTTCAAACTTTGTTGATACTTATTTTCAAATTCTTATGGAGTAGAAATAAATATTTCTATACTCATATTTGTTTTTTCCTGTTTATTTCTCTGCTGACCATTTTCTTGGAAACTTTAAGCAGTAGAGCATGATGTCTGTGTCTTTGGCAAAGAGGACCTGGACACAAATCACTGAACTTGCAGATATTGAGTTAAGTGAAGGCAAATGGTTGTTTGTGTAAAATCAGTTTTTCTTCCCTAGCATAGACCGTGAGAACTATGTGGGGGTTTTGGAGATCTTCACCAAATCATTTGCATTTTCCTGACTTCTAATAACAATGTTTTTTCAAATAATTTCTAAAGGTAATATTTTTGATGGTTCTCAAAATCATGGCATAGGACTGCAGAGTGTTACAGATGCCGTAGCTTTTATGATGGGGGTGTGGGATGGCTACTTGGATTGGAATGATTGTTTATTATGTGTTTTCAAATTAGGCCTTAGTGTATATGATCCAGCAAGATCCCTGAATGCCAATAGTTTTTCTTTTGCCATATTAAATATAAGTAGTTATGCAGCAAAATGCAAATTCAGAAATAGATGGGTTTTGTGTTGGTTTTTTTTTAATCCAGAAAAAAGTACTGATTACAGACTGTTATTTGTCTGAATGCCTCATGTATTTTTGAAAGTAACTGAGGGCTCTTTCTTACTTATGATGATAAGAACAGAGGAAATGAGATAGAACAGGTAGCGTACTGTTTTCAAGCAGATTTTAATTTCGGTTAATAAAAAGAAAAACTTACTTAATCTACTGAAGTGTTGTACAACGAATTGTCATGTTTCTAACAGATATGTAGTGTTTCGTTAGTAAAGATAACAATGTTTGCTGAACTTGATTTGCATAGAGACCAGGTCAGTGCTGGGGGTGCCAAGCGGCTTTACGCCGTCATCTTTCCTCTGCGCTTCTTGAGTTGGGAGTAGGGAGGAAACTCGAGACAGAAGATGTCTGGGCTCAGTGCGGCGTGGGCCCACCGTGGCCGAGCATCACCATGGTGCAGAGCCAGCAGCAGCCATGGCTCTGCAGGCAGAGGGCAAGAGATTTGGTACAGCCCCGGGACAAGGGGTTGCTTGAGGAGGCGGTGGTAGCCTTTGAGCAGAGTCTGGCTTGACTTTACGTGGTGGCAAGCTCTTCTCAAGGAGAAACTTTTGGGTGCTTACGTGGTGTTTGCTCACAGGCAATGGTTTTCAGTTTATTATGAAATAAACAGTCACGCTTCTTGGGTTGGTGTTTCTGTCACCACTGACTGTCACATGAATCTTCTGGATGCTGCTATGAGTGACTAATGTGTTATAGCATTTCTGTCATGCATAGATTAAAGTATTAGAATAACCTGCTTTCAGTTCCGTTGAATGCAGTTTGTGTAGTATCTATCCTAAAGGCCAAAATGCTTAAATATTTTCTCTCCAAAGCGAAGTTTGCTGTTATGTTGCCAAATAACAACTTGCATCTGAAAGTTGCTAGGGCCTTGAAGTAACGCAGATGGAGTTGTTGACTTTTTCCACATAGTTTTGGGAAATGAAAGACTACTTAGGTACAGCGCTGATAAGTACTTATGTCGCAGATTGAAGTGTTGACAGTTGAACGGAATTTGTAGTGGATTTGATGAAATTAAATTAATGTTTTTTTTCAGGACACTTGTTTCATGTTGTAACAAATGAAAGCAATACATCAGAAATCTGTCTTAAATCTTCTGCCCTTTCCTGTAAGCATTAATGATGATTGTCCTGAATGCTTAATTCTTAATGTTATTGGCTAGAAATCTATGGGGTTTTTTTACTGTTAACTTATCATAGAAGTGCTTATTTGGCTGTAATTACAATGATGTGCTCTTCTTTTCCCTAGGTGGCTATTTTTAATGCAGTAGTGTCATTAACTGGCTGAAGACTAAACATGAGAATAGCAGGTAAGTACCCTCAGTAAAATCAGACTTCTGTCACTTGTGAAACAAGCGCTAGAAACAGCACTAACAAGTAGTGACGATGAGGTTTAAAAACAAACTTAACTGGCATAACAGGCATTGCTGTTCCATTTAACTGATGTTTAATGAAACTCGTTTTGGAATTTGGGATGGTCTAAGAGCAAGCAGGTGGTTAAAACGCTTCAGCTGATTTGCGGTGACTGGTTAAGGTGCCATGACTTGACGTACTTTGGCTGCTGATTTCTGTAAGATGATGAAATAAGGAAATGCCCCATTGATGTCTTAAGCGATTTCTTCCCTGCCTCACTCCCCAACCCAAACCGCTATGCGCTGTTATAATACAGTGCCTGACACTTCCTGAATGTTTACTGGAAGTTTGAAAGCTATAAAAGCCTTTTTATAGAGGTAAGTTAGTGTAGTACAGGGTCTGAGAAACTGATTTTACTTGACAGGAGGTGTAGTGGTGGTAAAAATAAGATCTTTGCCACTATAACGCTCCAATAACATGTTATTTCAGACATTTCCTTGCAGTATAATAGCCTGTGTGGCAACTGAACAGTTTTGGGTTTCTGAGGCGTTGCGCTTTTTCAATAGCTGTAGTGTTATGTTTCAGAAGGAGCACCTGTTGGTTCTTCTAGGAGAGAATGACACCTTCTTTTCCGAGAGAGTTGCACATTAACCTTAGTAATGCATGAAATTAGTCATGATTTTTGTCACTACTACAGTTGTTTTATTAACCTCAATATGAATAACTGGGAACAGGCTGCTCCCAGTTATACATAAAATCTGATAAAGAACTGGAAAATGCTGCAAGTTTCAGAAGATGGCTAAATCACCTGGAAAATGACTTTCCCAAGCCTCTTTTTTTTCTTCCATCTAACTACTTATGTTGCTGAAACCCACAGACAAAGAAGATATGGCGGTTCCTCCTATAGAATGTTTAACCTGTGGCAAACAGGCTGGTTTTGGTTCAAGTGCTAAAAGAATTTTCTAGGAGATTTCTTACCTCTCCCTTAGAGGGGAGCGCTCGCAGTTCATTGGAAGTGCTCAGGATATGGAGTGGAGGGGATGGTTACTGCTCAGGCTGAGTTCTCATTTGTCTCACCTGCTGTCTACTGAAACAACATGCTCTCCAAGTGCCACTTGTTAGATGACACATTCCAAAATCTGGTACCATCTTGTCTTTTTAAGGAGTGTTGCTCTGAAAACCTTTTCTCCACTTGTTAACGTATGTTCAGATCATCTGTTTTCTCTAGTGCTTACACATGGTTCCCTTCCCTTCAAATGCAATAACCTTTGGAGTTCCGGCATATTTTAAAATCAAGTTTGTATCTGTGTTTTCTTATGTAGTATTTATGTGCTCACGCACCTGAAAAGGGAAAGTGGGATAGGAAGACCGAACTACAAGCAAACAAAAAAATCATCTCTTTCTTCATCTTTTTCTATCCCTTTATCTTTTTTTAGCCTTTTGAAAGGATTGATTAACATCTCGCATCCCTCTGAAGGCTGAGTAGTCTGTCTATTTTAAGGTTTTCTGAACAGCCCATCATAGCAGCAGTCTGAGATCCGCAAGACTACATAAGTTTGGGTTTTTTCTGAAGGATTTATTTGGCTGGCAATCTGAGAAACAGAAGCATGCTGTAAGGTTGCTTCTACCAAACAGTTTGACATACTGGGGTGAGACATCAAGGCAGGATGTTCAACGGATGCCTCACCTAACTTCTACTCTCAGTCAGTTTAAATTTTACAGTAAGCTAAGAGTGGAGTATCCTGTAAAAATATAATGAAAATTATGCTAAAAATTTTCTAGAGAAAAGAAGATTGAGGGCTATAATGAAAATTATGCTAAAAAATGGAGGGGTTCATGGCAGTACCACATACACCTGAGTTTCCATTTCAGATGTCCATTGCTGTGGTTGTGTGCCTCTGGCTCTTCTCCCAGGAGGTATCTTGACCACTCAGCAATGGAGAAAGTTAGGCTTGTAAAACTTTAAGCTACCTATGGCTTCAGCATATTAATAAAGGGGGAGGAGAGACGTATTGCTTTTTATTACTTTCTAAAGTAGCTCCTTTGAGTCTTCAAACTCACTTTTTGAAGATCAGTAATTTAAATTTCATGAAAAGGAGGCTCTTTTTTGTTTGTTTGTTTGTTTTGGGGTGTCAGTAATTTAAATTTGATGAAAAGGAGGCTCTTTTTTTTTTGGTTGGTTGTTTTGGGGGTTTTTTGTTTGTTGTTTTTTTTTTTTAAACGTAATGCTCAGACCTGACTGACCAGAGCAGCCAAGCTCCAGTATATGAACAGATCCCTGATCACTCAGTCTTGGCCATACATTAAAACAGAGGTAACTCATTTGGGGTTGGGGGGAGACAGAGGCGTGTTTGTAAACAGTGAGGAAGTAGGTACACCTGGCTAAGAATGGGGAAGTGGAATGGGGAGAAGTGGGAATTTCCCCTTTGGACAGCAGGCAGTTAGATCAGCTTAGTTTATTTTGTTAAGCCGGATTTCCATGGAAAAGTCTGTGGTTTGTCCTGGCTTTTGAGCTGAGTTGGCGTGCGGTGGTGTCAGACAAGCACGAAGCTGGAGAAAGCCGAGAGCTGGGTGTGCGTTTTTGGTAGAGTAACCTGATGGACTGGCTCAGTTGCATTCTATGTTATAATGTCTATTTCTTGCAGATTACTTCTGTTTAGTGAGTCTGCAAATGATCATCTGTTTCTGAGTTCCCCTTAATGTAATCCCATACACATTTCTCATGTAGTTAATTTTGGTAAGCTTAATGTTATCTTTTGCAGTTAACTTTTTTTGAAACTGTTCTCTGCTTTTCAATAGGTGCTGCAAAGTTGGTAGTAGTCGTAGCAATATTTTTATTGACATTTTATGTCATATCCCAAGTGTTTGAAATAAAAATGGATGCAAACTTAGGACACATATTTGGTAAGTGATGACCGTTTTCTCTGGACATCTATTAATAGTTACTTGAGCGATAATCAAGAATATCATATTAATTTTGTTTTAAGTTTTTCTTAGGCTCTTGCACTTAAGAATTCTGTGTTTATTTTTAATGTGTGTACTTGTAAATTTTTTATATATATTATACATAATATAATGTGTGTATTAAGTTATTTTCTGTACAAAATATTTAACCTACTCAATAAGTTTGATTCTTTTGCCTGCCCAGTATACGTAATTTTACCTGCTTTTTCTGTTTACTGGTACTTACGGTCTTAGTCTGGAGTTGTAAATCAGATGATTTGATTAACGCTTCTGGAAATCTGCACTCTGCCTTTTTGCAATCCAAAATTTGTTTGGGATGGGCTTTTTTGCTTGCACAGCTGCACTGCCATGTATAATTGAATGTGCAGTAATCAAAACATTTCAGATGTGCCCAGGTTCTACACAGAAGGGAGTTAGCTGCTGAGGTGACTTAAAATGCAGAGCCTATGTTTTGAACTAACTTTACCTTTAAAGGTGCTTCTCAGGACAAAAAACCCCTAATTTTAGGTACATGGGTAGGGTTCATGTTATTTACCTTCAGATTATTACAGTGTGAGCTGATGTCTGAACCAGTCACCGGAGGCATCTTTAATAATCGTTGAAGAGACGCAGGTGTCATTAAGCGGTGCAGATGTATTGTAGATATGTGCATGATGAGGTCGTTTGTGTCTCTTCCTATCCCAAGAAAGGGAGTCGTGAATGGTTGTGTTCGAGTACACCTGAGTTGGAGGAGTGTTAGGTGAAAGGAACCCCATCCTGGTGAAGCTGTAAGAAGGGAATTCTTTTCCCTTTAGTGCCCACACCTTCACAGATCCCTGGTGGTGTTGTATCTCCATGGATCTTTATGTTTAATCTGAGAGTCACAAATTAAGGCAGTGCTTCTAAGTGTGGTTCCTGATCGCTTTAATTCTTCTACTGTGTAAGGTTAATGTTTTATATTGGAATATAGTGTTTGGATGTATTTGATGCTTCATTTCAACCAACCTATTTTTACAGGGGTACAGAAAGGCTTTAAATTTATAGGATATTTTATAGCAGATGACACTTTAATAGTAACATCTTGTAAAACTTTCTTTATGCATTTTAGCGAGATCAGCGCTGGATGCAGCTGCACACTGTGAGTGTTCATGTGCATGTGTTACTGCTGTGACTTGCTTTTGCTAATGACAGAAAGACTGTTGAATTTTCATAGTTAAGAAACTCTTAATTACACTTTAAATGCAATCAGAATCTAATTTTCTGATTTTCCTAAATTTCTGGCCAAGTACGTTTTTTTGCCCGCATTTCACGTGTAGTCTTGTCTTGTGGCTTTTGATGACAGTGCCAGAGCAAGCAGCAGGGTGGGAACAACAAGTAGAATAACGAAGTACTGCAGGAATCTAGATTATTTTAAGCTGCTATGAAACTGCGGATAAGATATTGTTTGTCTTTGCCCTTTTCCTAGAATTCCTTCAGAAAACTAGCTGATACTTCTCTGTTAACCTACCTGTGGTGTTGTCTCTCAAATCCTGTTTTATTTCCTTTTGAAAGCTACAAAGCCTCCAAGATACAAATGTGGGATCTCTAAAGCTTGTCCTGAAAAGCATTTTGCATTCAAAATGGCAAGTGGAGCAGCAAATGTAGTTGGACCTAAAATTTGTGTAGAAGATAATGTGTAAGTATTTTTACCTGTTGTCTCTTAAGTATCTTTCAAATGCTGTCTTGGATCACTTTGCACACAAAATCAGTTGTTTAAATGATTCTTCATAGGTTTTGTTTTGCCAACGGTTTGACCACATGAAAATATTATATTGCATTATGACTTCTCTGATGAAGCACACTTAATATTCTGCAATAAATTCGGAAATGTACGCTATTTTAATACATGCAAGATAGTTTAAACTTAATTTCAGGTTTACAGACTTAAGGATTAGTTAGACTTTAAGTCAGATGGGAGCTTGCTTCCAAGTTCTTGTGCTTCTAATAGTAATTCAATGAATTATTATATTTTTAAGTAGTTACTCTAGATACTTCTAATTGAATGTCATCAGCTAAAACTATGCTGCGGAATTATCTTTTGCAAATTGTCTTTTGCAAGTCATCTTTTAAGATACCTATTTCCATAGTACCAATGTCAGAGCGTATTTTCTACTTTTCTTTAAAGGATGATTGCAAAAGGGGAAAAATAGTATTTTAATGATCAGGAGTTCTTTAATTGAGTTGATGGTAACTAAAGTCAATAAACTTAAAATAATTGTGAAATGAGTAAAGGAACTGCTTGAAACACAGTTTGGTTTTAAGTCCTGTATTTCTAATAATAGCATTTTAACACAGTTATCAATAATACTGTGCCTAAAGTATTTAATTGAATACCTTTCAGTAATGCCTGTAATGGGAATATTGATATTTATTTTTGGGCTCTGTGTTTCTTTGCTCTTAGGTTGTTCTGCTCATTTTCACCCAGAGTGTGCAGCTTTGTATAGCGTAATCTACCCACTCAATTTTGCATGTCACCTGTCAGAAAAGACGTGATGTTAGCATTGTCAGAAGGAGGTTTTTTAAAATATCAGTCACATCCACAAGTCCTTGCCTTCTGTTTGCGTTTAAACTACTCCAGTTTTGCTGTCTCTCAGCCCAGGCTGTGTTAGTACAGAGTGGGTCCGAGGGTGCGTACAGTAGTTAGTGCTAATGAGTTCTAGAGCAAATGGCAACTTCACTGTGAACAACATAACACCATGTAATTTAGTAAATAGGATCGTTGATCTGTAAGAGAATAAAACGTATTGGTTTACACTTTCCACCAGTTTACTCTCTAAAGTAATTCTGTACGATTAGTGTTATATGATCTTAAAGAGAAGACTGTATTTTTAGCGCTAAGTCTAGCAATAAAGATGTAGCGAAGTTGAAACAGGAGCTTTTTACCCTGACAGCTAGACACGTGCAGCTTCTTTGCTTTGTGTTATTAGTAGAAAGACGAGCACCATTCCAGTTTCAAGCCATTCTTCTGCGGGACTGGCTTAGCTCAAGCTTGCTGGCTTGTGTGGGAGCGCGTTTGCAGCGGAGCATCCCGGTGTAATCGGGGAACTCGCGCAAAGTGAGCAGGAGCTCACTGTTGGCACGCACTGACTACAAGCTGCTCGGTTCTGCTTTCCATTCCTGTCATTGATTCGCTTCATGACCTTGGACACTCTTATCTAATCTCTCTGCCTGGTATTTTTATTGGTGTTACAAAACCATGTTAACTTCTCATTCTGGTTGCTAGGAAGCGTAATGTCTGTGAAGACTTAAGGTGATTCACTGATTAAAAGTTGTGGGAGTGCAAGTAATATTTTAACTTCAGGATTATGGGGTGTTTTGTTGTTTGGCAAAACAACATCTGCCAAATGGCATCTGTTTTGTTGTTTGAGGCTTTTTTGTTGGTTTTTTGTTTTGTTTTTTTTAAATGTCTCGCTTACTGGTTAACTAAGAAAAGATTTTTTTTCCTGTCCAAAAAAAAAAAAAAAATCCTCTACTGGATATTTCACTGAAGAAAGTGATGGAAAGAAAGTAGTTGCTGGCAAGAAACCCTCTATTCTTTTAATACTAGTGCACACCTTAGTGCATAGCTATTGGAGTCTGAAGTCAGATTTCCTGTGGCAAAAATCCTTCCGAATACCTTCTGAGGAGGACTTGCAATACCCATTTAAAATGTCGACCAGAAATTTTGATTAAATTTATATTGGCTCCTGCTTTTCTCCTCAGATGTCTGATTTCTCTTCTAAAAGCTGCCATAACTTGTTGATTGTAAATTGTTGGAGGAATTCTAAAACTGATGAACGGCTGCCCTCCTGTGAGAAACCTGTCACATTACAGCCTGTAGCATTTGTGACTTGGTGCTGAAGCTGTCTCAAGTGTGTAAAGCAGTATCTCAGAGCTCTAAAAGAACTTATTTCCTTCTCAGCTCTTTTTTAGAGATATTTTTGACTTCACTCCTGCAAAATGCTTTTTTCTGATTACTTTGTGTTCTTCATACTTCCTAGACAAGGAAGCAGGGATGAGTTTTCATAACTTGTCAATGATATTTACAACATAGAGGTTTTTTGCTGTGTATTAAACATGAGGATGTCACTTGGTTTATGAGAGCGCTAAAGGGGCTGATATGCATTTAATTTCCCAGCTTTTATTTAAATTATATAGATACTTTGGTGTGAAATAGGAATTCTGTATAGAAGTTCAGTTATAGCCTTGTTCTGCTATATTGGAAGGATGTCATTCAAACTAGAACATACTGTGGACATCATCAAAATATTAAATATTGTAGTTGCTACTTCATGGGCTTTTTAGAAGAGGGGGTGATCTTGCTATACTTCTTGACCAGCAAATTCTCCATGCAGTTTTACTTCCATTAAGAAGCTGGTTGCATGGTTGTGCCACAGTAACCTTATAGCAGAACATTGCACTGCATTCCTTTTATGACTAGTAATTCTTGTACTCATATTTGCAGGAATTTTTTCTTGTCTGAAATCCTTTATAACTTTTTATAATCATTATATAACTTTATATAATCATTATAATTTTTGTTACGTATGTGTGGATTTTCAGCGTCTAGTAACCCCAGTATTGGACATTTTTTGAGTGGTATTTATTTACAGAGAATTTTGTCATTAAAATAAAAGGAAGTTCTTATTCTTTTTGGTAAATTAGATGTCCACTAAATTTTATATGAGCAAAGGAATGTGCTTAGAACTTCACTGCCTATTTTTCATTTATGTTTTCAGTCTTTATTTCCTATATGTTTTATTGTTTTGAAAGAATGCTCAGATTTGACATGAAAATCATGTGGTCAGAGAAGAAATGATCCTCCGGTGGGTAAAATACTTCTGGAGTTCCCTACTAACCAGAGCTGAATTCCGCATTTCAGCAGAGAATTCCAAATCTTCTGTTTCAGAAGTTACTGAATTATAGTTAATTTTAATCAAAATTTTTGGCAGATGGTATAAATTAGGGGACTAACAGAAGAGTATGGGCTCTTTCATCTCTGATTACTAGTTCTTTAAAACTTAAGTTAGTGTGCCAAGAGTTACCATTAACTGACAGTCTTTCACGTCCTCCCTGAACTACCTAATACTGAGTCTGTTCCTGATGGTTGGCTATTGAATTTCCCATTCGTCTGAATTTTGCCTTCTGTCTTCATCCTGGGTGAAAAAGATAGCATCAGAGAGGAAGATTTTTGCCATACTTCTGTGATAGACCATTTCTTGTTTCTAGCCTGTCGCTAATAAGTTTGTATGAGAAAGCTGGTGCTGCAGTTGTGTGCGTAAGGATGCGGTCCTTCTGCTGTGTTGCTTGGAACAGATGTTTAGACATGATCTGAAATTCATATGATCTCAGAAGAAACGTGGAAAAAGTTTCAAACATAACAGCATTTGACACATCTGCAGCCCCTTCCCAGAGCAGCCTAGGGAAGGTTAAAGAAATCCTGATCAGGATTTCTTTAAAGCATCTGTTAGTGTGTGTAATTAATGAGGTGTGCACCTGTATGCTTACACCAAAGTGCTTTCATGAATTGCAGCTGAAGACTTCTTTGTTATCTTAACTTGCATAATTGTTTCAACCCTTACTCCTGTTTCTCCTTGTGTATGATAACTGTTTTACTCCTAGCTTCAAAAAGTTAATGCTGGGATATTTGGGGCCTGGAGGCAGAACAGAGATCTTTATACATTGCCAGTGAAAAGGGATGAGGAGGTCTGGAAGGTTCCTCTCACTGGAGTGATACCCTCCCAAGGCAGCACAGCATCCTAGCTAACGGTCTTGATGTTTCTGTTAGCTCTTCTTTACAGCTCTGAAAGGTTTCCATTTCACAAGGCATCTCTTCTTCCCAGCTCCTTTGCCGCTCCGAGTTTGGCCAAGTGATTGCTGTCATAGACTGTGACTGTTTTGTTGGGATGTGTAACTGTACTCCAAGACTATATTCAACTTTTGTTTAAAGTCCCATCAGTGTATTAACTATTTTTCTCGGATTTAGGTGTCCTATTATAGGTACAAGTAGCTAACTGCTTTAACTTTCCTGTTTCTTACTGTGATGCTGCAATATTAATTTTAAATGCCTCTGTTCAGTTAGTTTTTAAACTCATTAACACACTTTTTGTGCCTCGTGTACTTACATAAAGAGCTTACAATGTTGGTTATGTGACTGTGCTAAGCTCCTCAAATTATTATTTGTTTCACGCTCTTTAATTGCAGGGAATCTTCTTAAATACACTAATAGCATTTTATTTTTTGTGAGACTTTAAATATACACGCATACTTTGAAACCAAGATGATTAAGCGATCAAATGAAATGGATACAAGTGGGGATAGCTGATCTGTTGTTCTCAGTTCAGTGGTGCCATAAAAGCACACAGATTAGTTCAGGGAGATTTTGTTTCATTCAAATACTCATGAACATGTGGTCTTTCAGCTATGTATGTCTTAAAATTTGATTGACAGAAATCAGAAATATTTCACATCAGAAAATTGTCCTATTGAAAATAAAATTGTTTATTTTGTTGCAGTTTAATGAGTGGAGTTAAAAATAATGTTGGCAGAGGAATAAATGTGGCCTTGGTCAATGGTAAGTGGCATTTTAAGTGAGCGGATTGTTTTCGTTTTCAAATTGTTTCTGAAATTTCAGGTGAAAGTACTAAGGGACAGTGAAAGGCAAGCAGGAGGAGAAAAGGAAGCATTCAGCATGTTGATACTGAGACAACGTCAGATCTTGGAACTTAGACCTTTTTGTTAGAAAGTAGAAAAACTCAGTGTGTTTTTCTTTCTAATGTGTAGTAAAAGTAGTCACTGCATCACTCCACATTACTGAGTGATACATCAGATAAATTCCTAATGCATGTATAAAATGGAAAAAGATGAGATGCGTGCTACTTCTTTTGACTTCGGGTGTTGCCATCACTAATAAAACTTTGTGGACTAAATTCTGCTCTTGATTTCTTTTCAGTGGAAAGTATTTAACAATTCTGTTACTTTGTGGAAAGACCAGCTGATTATTTCCTAACTTGAAGTCAGTATATATGATTAGTCCATATCTATAGATCTTGTCCCTAAATACATCGTGTTATGTAATTGTGTTCAGGATTCTTAACTTTCATCAAAACCAAACAAATCTACTTGTGTATCACCTTGAAAGCTGAACTGAATGTCAGTACTGGAAGATTTGTCCTTAATGTGTAAGATGCAATTCCTTACAGCACCTTGTCATTTTACTGTAATATAAATTCATGTTATTTCTGGGTTGTATTCAGGTTTACATCATCTAAAAGCACGTCTTGAACTATACTCGCCTAATCCTATTTTGCCCTCCTAAATTGTCTCAATCTGTTCAAAACCAAAGTACCGACCTTTGTGTTATATAGCTGCCAGTCTTTCTCCCTGTCTTCCAAACTTTAAATGAATGTAGGTATTAAAAAGAAAACTCTGCCTTCCATCAAATACTGCCTTTGAAGACAACATAGTAAAAAAAATAAAAAAGCTAATGAGATTACTATATTGTCCACTTTCTTCTGTTAGTACTGGATGTTTACATCGACTAAGAATTTCCAGTCTATAGCAAAACATGCAGTAATTTTAATCTTTCTTTCTGTGTTGCACTAATAGCAACCTATAGCTGTACTATCTATTTTTGCAAAAACAACTTTAAAAAAAACCACAGCAAATATGTGAAGTGACTTCTCTTTATTGGTTTTAGAGGCTGTGGGCTTTTTTGTTTTATTTTGGATCCACTTGAAGCCAAATCAGAAGTTTGCATCTTCTCTCTCTTTTTTTTTTTTTTCTCCCCTCTTCCATTTTCCTGCACCTTTTCACAAACTACTATGCTGTTTAAGGAGCAATCTTAAGATGAGAGTTACCATAGTAATTGATTCATATGGTGTCTTCTGCAGCACTTTCTCTGCAAGAGTCATTAAGAAGAGTTGGGCATGTTGTCTGTAAAATAACTTTGGCTATGTTTGATGATACCAAATATTTCTTTTTCTCCAGGTAAAACAGGAGAACCATTAGACACTAAATTCTTTGACATGTGGGGAGGAGGTAGGTGCAGTTACCATAGCTGGTTAGAGAGAAACAACTTCAATACCTCCCTTTTTTTCTTTTTTTTTTTTTTTTTTTTTCCTGCCCCCCCTCCCCCCTTTCCTGCCCCCCCTTCCCTTCTCCAGTCTCCATTTATTGTGGTGCTTTAGGGTGATGGTTAAGGGAGTGCTTCATTTCTACCTTTGTAAGGAGAGTGCAACTTTAAAGAAACACAAATAGTTGAGGTGGGAGGGAGTGGTATGGTTGATCGAACTCACTTGTTCTCCCAAGTAGTTCCCACTAGTTGTTACATCTTCACTCAATATGGATGAAACTCTTTCTATAAAATGAAAGAGTTCTCTCTGATGCATTTTATCTTTCTCCCACTTAGCATCTTTTATAAATTTTTAAGTACATTTACAAATATTAAAAGGAATGTCTTTGCATGAAGACATTGCAGGTGTTTAATAACAAGCAACCATTCCGTATTTAAACAAGTTCTGTGTTCTCTCTCTTTTCAGATGTGGCACCGTTTATTGAATTTCTGAAGTCCATCCAGGATGGAACAATAGTGTTAATGGGAACATATGATGATGGTGCAACCAAGTATGTCATTGATTTATGTAGTAAATATTGCTTAAACTTTTAAATGCTGTTTCGCACTGAAAAAAAAATGCATTCTTTATCACAGAATCACTTTTGATAAAGTTTTGTTCTTCCAAGATGACTGATTTGAAACTATGCTTCTAGGCCATTAGTTTTATAATGCTGATATGATTCGGGGCCAACAAGGATCAAATTAAAACTAGGTGTAGTGGGTTATGTATGTATTTACATAGAGGATTGTTAGGTGTATACTTTTGTGATCTCAACAACAGAGAAACAATAAATGAGATATTAAAGTAGACCGTTTAGCAGAAATATCACAAGTGTTTGAAAATTTGAAAAGTCTAGAGGTTAATAGTTGACTAATTAGCAATTGCTACATCAATACATAGTTGGGGCTTTTTTTTTGCTCCCCTGAGAAAAGATGTTAATGCAAGAAGAAGACGCTGTAGGGCATATGGTCAGCCCAGCAAACTGCTTACTTGTAGCTATGTCAGGCACTGTAATTTTTTTTTTTTTTTTTTAAGCAGTACCCTTACTCTCCCTGGTTCCTGAAGACCCTGGAGCTTCCTGGCTGCTCTCCTAGAATTTGTCCCCACCTCTTTTTTTTTGAATGTATGCTGCCAAAGACACCAGTCTTTTTGGAGTTTTCCTATTGCTGATATCTGAATATACTAGTATAAGACAGAATGAGCTATCTCCAGACATGGGAACATGGCTCTGAGAATATACTCTGGTGGAAACTCATCTGTTCCATCCAGCACTTTTCTCGTATCAACTCCAAGACAGAGTTTGGTGGTTACAGGGGTGCAGAGACTGTTCCTGGTAGGCCTTGCCTGCATCCTTCTTTTTGACATCCGAGAGGTTACTAGTGTGCACCTCATACATCTTGGCCTTAGTGTTTGGACTGTTCCACCCTAAAGCTGTTCAGCTTATGAATCCAGACGTAGCCTAAGAGGTTTTACTTTTCTTTAAGCATTATCTTCTAACCTTCCCAACTTTCGTCAGCTTTAATAGATACTAAAAATTACTGTAAAATGTGTATTGTAATCTATTTCTCACTTAAGTCATCCTGTCCAAAGGATTGCTCTTCATAGTGAAAATTAAGAGGTTTTTTTTTCCCCTTTTCCTCTTTTGTTTTAATAATATTAAACTTTTCACTAATGTTTTCTATGCATTTTCTTTACTCTTTTGGTTCAATTTGTTAGGTACAACTTGTCTGTATTTTTGATATAGGAACAGCTTTCCTATGACAAAGTCCTGATTTTGCAGTGTGCAGTATTTGCAGTAAATAGTTAAGTGTCTGTATGTTCACTCTTTTTAGGAAAAGAAAGCAATTTAATGTTTCTTTATGCCAAGGCTGGATCTTCTGTTGTTCTGTTCAGTTGTTTTGTTACTTTTCTTTTTGCTTTTTCCTTTCTTCTTTGATGTTTTAGGTAACAAGTACAGTCAGTTTGTTTCAATAATCATGTTACAACTGATGTTTTTGAAAGCTTATTTGTAGATAATATCAGCTAAACAAGAAGGTGAATTTGTTCCCATTCATGCTGACAGCCGGGAACTACGGCTTGTTAGTGATATTACATAATTAGCCAAAACCTTACCACTGGTGGTCGATGGTAATTGTAAATGCTAGTTCTTGAAAACAATTAAAATTGTGAAGAACCAATGTGTTTAAAAGATTAAATATTTTTATTTTGATTTGTTTTAAGAATAAGTTGCCCTAATGCTCTAGAAACTTGGAGTGTGGCTTGTGCAAATAACCTCCAAATTACTTAATCATTTTCATAATTTTAGCTAAAGTGGGTCATACAACTATATCTCCGTAAGTAGTAATAATTAGAAGTTGTGTGTGTTGTTTAGTAATCAGGCAAATACAGTAACAGAAAGGAAGAAATAAAGAGCTGTTATTTGGAGGTTTTGGAATGATAACTTATCCTACAGAATTGTTTTTCCCTTCTGTACTAAAATTACCCTGCTGGACCTACAGGCGCTGAACCATGCTGTGGGGCAGCATTCTGAATTTTGAACTAATTGACCCAAGTAGACAAGAACTTCTTTCATAGATTTAAGTCATTCGTCTAATCTGAAATACCTTTTACTTTATCTAGACTTCAGCTCGAGCCTGCAAACAATGTTTACTTTAAAGGCTGACTTTTTTAGTTTCTTGGAGAATTGCTAACAGGACTTGAGATGTATGTATAAATTCTCACAGGAGAGGGTTCTTGACTTTTGTTGGTGTACTGATAGGTTTGTATGCTGGTTCCTTGAGATTATAATATTAAAGAGGGCAGTGCTCATTAGATCAGGTGATTTCAGAACTAGCCTTATCTGATTTTGAAAGATAGATCTTGCCCAATATTGACTGACTTAAACTATATTTAATCAGATTAAAGCTGAATGGTCCATTGAACAATGAAAGCTCTAAGGGCATGTATTTTATTCACGTACTGAACTCCGTTGTGGTTTTTTTTTAAGGCTTAATGAGGAAGCACGGAAACTGATCGCTGACTTAGGAAGCACATCTATTACTAACCTTGGCTTTAGAGACAACTGGGTCTTCTGCGGTGGGAAAGGAATTAAGACTAAAAGTCCATTTGAACAGGTCTGTGCTTCTATAACTTACTGGAATTAAACAGCTTGCATTAATAAAGGCGTAGCATGTATTATAAATACCATGCATTTGTTCAAGATGGGTATCTATTGTTCAAGATGGGTATCTATTGCAGTAGTGGCACACAGTGTTATTTTTCAAATTTATTCCTGTACTAGCCTCCTCCTTTTAAATGTACCAAAAAGAGTGTTTGGTGATTCACAAATAGAAAAAAAAGTCTTACATGGGGCAGATCTTATTCTCCCACTAACTAGATCATTTCTCTTATTAATGAATCCAATTAAACTGAAGAATTCAAAACTTACTGCCTAACGCTTGTGTTTTAGATGCATTAACAATGGTAGGCCTCCAACAGGTAAGTGGTAGTAAGGGTGCTGGTGTTCCCAGATGTTCGCTTTGCTCTTGCGGCAGAAATTATTGCTGCCATAGCAACATTTGTGAAATAGAATATGTTCCCATAGTTTCGCTGTTACGGTTCAACACGTGTCATTGTTGCCTTTAATTACTGGTAAAGGTAGCGGTGTCCTCAGAGAGTAAGGGAGGCGCGTTCTCTATTGCCAGCTTTGCGAGGGAGTGGGAACTAGTACAGAAGCAGTAGCAAACTCTTGGAGGCAGTAATGTCTTACCTGACTGCAGATGGTCACTTGGTGGAAAAATAAGCCCCTAATTTTCAAAAAAAAGCAAACATTCTAAATAAAGTTCTTTAAAATCTGACTATTGGTTTTCAGTGCCTTGCAAATTTAGTAGTTCATGTTTTAATGCAGTTGGCCTTTTCCCTGCTTGTCCCTCTTCCTAAATAAACATCTATTATATGTGTTAAAAATGTTCTCCCAGTATGGCTTAACTGTTTTTAGCATACACTTGTCTGAGCAAGTTACAATGAGTGGTGAATAGTGAGAGATTGTTATATTTGATACAAAGCACAGGAGGCTAATAGTGATGTCTCCTCTTTGTCCATGGCCTGAAAATAAGTAAACACCATGTATTTTAAAGCTGTGAGTTAAAAGCAAAAGGATAAATGACTTTGTTAACGGTAGATTGATGTTTTCTATTTATAGCATATAAAGAACAACAAGGACACAAACAAGTATGAAGGCTGGCCAGAAGTTGTTGAGATGGAAGGCTGTATCCCTCAGAAGCAAGACTAAATAAAAAGGAAACAAGAATACGGAAGAAAATGCACTTTCTGCTATTATTAGGGAGAGGGCTATGAAGGAGACTGTACTGTAAATAATATTTTTAAAGCATGCAACCATCTTGTCGGTGTGTGCATGAGCACTGACATTTTGAATATTGGGATTATTTATTGCTAACACACATAAAAGTCCTTTTTGTAAATATGTCCAGAATAAAAGAAACATCAAAACATTTCTATGCAGGTTTCTTAAAAGCACAGTATTTAGTTTGCCTGTGGTAAATGATATCTTGTAGATTGACTGGCTAATAAATTGCATATTCGGATAATAAACAGATCCTTACAAATGTTGTACTGTCCTCTTAACAGCGTAATGTTGCTGTGAGTATGTAACCTTTGTGGAATATTGTAGATTTTAGTGATAAGTTAATAAAGAGCTTTAATTTTTTTTTATCTTCTGCCTTTTTAATGGCAGCATCACTTTTTATTAAAGCTGTTTGGTTATTCTAATACCAAGTGCTCCTGAAATTTATTTTGTAGTCCCCCATCAAAACTGAATAATGAACAAAGGAAAAATACATGGTAGTGTAACAAGATATGCCATGAGAAGCACAACAGAAATAATTTTCATTGGGGGAAGAACAAAAGTAAATTTATAATGTGTGTGATATTTAAAAGCAGCTTGGAAGGATTTGTACTTAACTCTAAAATAATGTTTACTTTGTAGAAGAGACGTAGAAATGTGGCTAATTTGTTCACTTTTTATTGCAGTTCTTGTACTGCTGCTTCCAACGTTGATTCTACCTGTGGCTGTTCAGCTATAGTGGCTAGTCACACAGTCAATGGGCATAATGGCATAGCTTCCTCTTAGTTCTAACGTGAGGATAAATTTCCCATCACAAAAGAGCCCGTTAGAAAGCAGTCTGCCTTCTACTGAGAGTTGGTTCAGGGTACACAGTTGTGTACACCACCTATTTTACACCTAATGTGAGCTGAGAAAAATTTATTCTTGCAGTGAGATGTTAGATAAAGCATTGTATCTTGGGTTCTGCAACGTGTTTAAACTTAACTGACAATGTTTCCTTCATACTTTTTTTTTTTTTTTTTAATGGAAGAAAATGGACCAAGTTGAAGTGGCCTTATTCTTTAGCTTGTATCAGAGTTGTGGGAAAACACTGCTTTCTGTGGAAACTTCTGTTTCTTTTAGGTAGGGCCAGCTTGGACTTTGCTGAAACTGAGTTGGTATGGTATAACTGATGGTGTTGGTATTCACAAAATAGGGGCTGACACGGAATTGGGTGTAATCTCTTGGAGCTTCATGTCATGAGTTCTGGTATAATCTTCAAAAACTTCTAGCTAGTACTGTGGTGCAAAAGCCACACAGGATTTTTCGGCAACCCACAGTGTGAGTTGAACACAGCGGCACTCAAAATACTATTATTGTTGATATCTTCTGAGACGAATTTAATTCTGTGCACTAAAAATTTCAAGCAATATTGGGAATTACCTTGTAAGTCATATAAATAACCTGTGGTACCAGAGTAAGAATGGATTCTGAGTTTTCTGTATGTTTAAGTAGCTTGTGAAATAATGTGGTTTTCCTTCAAGTTTAATATAGAACAGCAATAAATGCACCTTACACAGTGAAACTGCTTTTGTTAAATCTTTTGGGTTTTCTTGTGTAGGAGGGCATGTTAAAATCATGTATATTTTTTCATCAAAGTAACCCCCCCTGTTTCTATCAATTGGAAAATAACTTCTATTTTGTAACATTAGGCTATTGTGGAAAATGAATTAATTGTGTAAATCCTGCAATTTTTGCAGAAACACAGTTTTGTTGGTATATATGCCAGTATTGGTTATGCTGCTATCCAGAATAATATCAAAATAATTTTGAAGTTACTTGTTAGGGCCTTAAGAGAAAAAAAAAAACATTTGTCTGCAGTAGTAGTTTCCCTGGACTACTCTTGTCTTTGTTCTTTTGGTTTTGAATGCCAATGCGTATTTCATCTTTCATCAAATTAAAAAGTTCAAATTTCCTCTACAATATTAAATGGAGAGAAAATAACACAAGGCAGACCTCTTTTAGCCCTTGTACCTTTTAAATTTGTGCCTTTTTTTTATCCAGCAATCCAAATGAAGTAAATTGATTATGGCTCTTTTAACCCCTTAAGATTTTATCTGCCACAAACCTTTGAAACAACAGATTTTAAAGCAATAAAATGGTAGGGTTGTTTTTGTAACTTCTTAAATAATTTGATGCTTGTGATTTTGATGAAAATCTTCCTCTTATTCTCGAACCCATGTCCTCAGCTGTATTGTATCACATTTAATAAGACTCTCTTTAAGTATAATAAAACTTGTACTGGCGCAGCCGTGCAAATGGAGTCTCCTTGCTCTTGTCCATTATTGTGGTCTGTTGACTTGCTGCGAGATCTATCGTGCCATCTCTTCTCTTCTGCCTTGAGTGAGCCGCCTGCAGTATCCCCCTGTCAATGTAAACTTTGATGCTTACTCTTCAGAAGCGAGACACTGATAATTTATCTGCATGTCATTTGAGTTACCAAGCACAAAGATTACTTTTCTGGCCTCCCTGGTCTCTCCCACAGCTGGTGGTAGGAGGTGGTCAGTTGCAAAGCTGAAGACATTTTGCACAGGTAACTTCACACAAAAGTACCTGTGTGCGACAAAACTCCAGGATGCGTATTGTAGGCTACACTGGGCAATGGGAACATTTGCGGCATCTCGCAGACTTGTTGAGAACAGAGCAGTGAGGGAAGGAAAGAGGAAGACTGTGGAGGATGTCTACCTCAAAAAGTGCAGCTGTGGAAAGAGGTGGGGGAGGACAGAAGAAGGTTGTAAATTCATGTTCAGCGAGGAGCACCCAGCTGATGTTCAAGCCACCTGAAGACATCACTGTAAACCATAGTACTCAATTGCTGTACTAGTGTTGCTTCATAACGGGAGTCATAAGAAAGAAGCTGAAGGGCCTCTCTGCCTTGACATACCCTCTGCATCTTCTCTAGTGTCTTTTATGATCAAACCTCTCCCACCCCTGGAAACAGCAGAGCCTTTTACAGCTTTAGTTTCCCAAGCACTAGTTTGGAAGAAGCTTCCTTTTGCTCGGCATGTTTTGCTTTCCAGATGTCTTACCGTGGCACTTGGTTCCCTCACACATTGAGGTGAATACTAAATGCTTGATGTGTATGTAATGTCTCCTAGATGTTTATAGATTTTCTGCAGTCTGAGTGTTTTCCAAGAATGAGTGTATTAATAAAGTAGAGGCCAGGTGGGTAACTTCAGGAGGGGAAATAAAGAAATAATACTGCCACCGTAAGTGTTGGCTGATGTGCCTGTGTAAGGGTGGGAAGGGCTGTACTCCCTCCCTAAACTGACGTGGGTCATAGCTAAGGTGGATAGCAAGCAAGGGACTTTTTATTGATTAAATCCTCTTCAGTTTTCCATCCGTAAGGCCGGGCTAAGGCCATACCCTGGCCTTAATAAAAGAGGCCTGGCTAAGAAAGTTGAAAAAGAAAGCTGGAGGGCTGGATGGGAACTTGGAGGCCAAAGCAGGAAGGTGCAAGAAGAGCTCTCAGCCTGTTCGGTGACACCACGAGGTGTCAGTGGCTCCTGATGCTGGAGTAGGGATACGAGGGACCCTGCTTTTTGCCCTCTGTGCGATGTGCCAAAAGGGCACAGGCACATGGGCTTAGCCATCTCCTGCTGCTGCCTCCCTGGGGGCAAAAAAATGAAGAATGGCATGAGAGAATGTGCTCTACTTGAGATGTTTCATTACTTTTTTTATTATCTTAATATTAGCTTAAACCCACTTTTAGTTCCTCCTTGCTGCTCCTGTAGTCAGCCTTTTCAGCCTTACAAACAAGATCTCATGCACCTTTCATAGGCCCAAGGTAAAACAGGTTCCTGTGTTTAACTATCCACCTAGTTCAGTTGTCTCTTGTACCATCCCAATCTTCTTTGTTGAAAATTAATGATTACTTCTTTGCAAGTTAAAAATTGATGACTTTCTTCTTAGATGTCCTTTACATTCTTCCTGGCCCTATCTTTTCCTTTCTAGAACATGCAACTCGGCTCCTTTAATCTTGCATTTATCCTTTTTAAATCACTATAATCTGTGAATCTTTAATCGCCCGTTCCCTCCAAAAGGTCTGTTCCTTTCTTGGGGTGTTGTCTGTAGGAGGATATAGCTGCAACCTCATTGACATGAAAAAAGGCACTCCCAGCTGCGGGGGAATCGTGTCTCCTCTTTGACCTTGATGGATGGCAGTAGAAGGGAGTGCTGTCTTCTGCAGAACATCGTCTGCAAATGTTTTTTCCTACCAAATGCTGCAGCAGTCCTCTCTGACTAATTATCTTCCTCGGCCTTGAGTATTTTAGCATTGTCTTTATCAGTACACCCTTGTGTTCCCAGATCTTGGCAGCTGAATCATCCTTCCCATTAGAAAACTTGGTGGATAATGTCTTGATTTATGGCATTTATATCTTAGCCCTCATAGATGCCTTGAAAGCACCTAATGCACAATGTAGATAACTATACTTTGTGTTTTGTAGTGTATTAGTAAATAAAATGAACATTGTGTCTTTATTATCCTTTGAAAGATGTAGAAAGGAAAACTTTCTTTCAGGGCTTTAGAATGTATATGGAGAGAGGTAGGGATCGGTATGGAGAACTGTAGTAGTAGGTACTACAGTAGCAGCTACATTGCCTACTGTGCAAAATGCACAGAAATCACTCCATCCTCTATGCTTCTGATCCCTGGAGGCAGCCCAAAGCAGCTGATCTTGCACTACAATGCAAGAGGTTTAGAGTGGTTTCTTAGCATTGGAATTATGGGACAATCAGCAAATGGGAAAAAAAAAAAAACCACCCAAACAACAAAAAAAAACAACCCCAAACATTTAGCCCAAGTACTATTTCAAGGTTATTTAGGCTGTCAAAATTGTATGATCCCAAATATGGTCCCAGCAGAAAGTATGATGCTGTTCTGTCTTGCCTTAGGGCTGTTTAGTTCTGAGTGACCAAAAGCGAGGAGGGCTGTTTAAAGGGGTTACTTGTCGTAGTACTACCATAAAATCCTTGATCAATGGAAAAGGAGCCTGCCCTGTAGCATCAACCCTTCTTACTGTGCGTGGCTTACTTATTATCCTGAGAAGGCCTCTATGTTAGCAAACTGTGAGGGATCATAAAACTTCTACAGGAAGTGGTTGTAGCCTTGGATAATCCCCCAAATTTGGTTCTACCTAAATCTCTTGCATAGAAATTACTAAAATGGGTTTATTTCACTCGCTGCTTTATTTGCAGAACTTTTGTCAGATACACTCCATTCATTTTGGTTTTGGTTTTGTTGGCTTGTCTTATGCTAAAAACCTGGAGTTTTCAACGCACACAAAGTGTGAAACCATATTTGGACAATATTCTGATGCTGGCAGCACAATCCAGTCAAGGTGTTACTACTCCTGGTCACCTCCCCAAGTTCTTAATTCCATGT